TTTGATGCCAGCCAGGCTTTGTCTGATACCTGCACACTGACGGCTCTAGGGATGCAGTATGAATCGTGGTCGATTTCTTTCTGCATCTGGGGGACAGAAAGATTTCGGCAGCACCTAGAGTGACAAAGCAGCCCTATTTAGGGAGGAACTGCTTTCCCCGCTCAGCCGGGGAAGGGGCTAGAAAAGGTGCCCTAAAAAAAGCTCACCCAATTTTACAGGATGGTAGTAACCACGACTGCCTCCGCATCTTTTAAAGCGTGGTCGACGTTTCAAAATGAAAAATAATAATACTTTAACACCTGTTATGACTTTTGGCGCGTGGAACGTACGGACGTTGGGTAGACATGGAGTCGGCAACATGAATAGCAATGGACAGCTGCTGTTAACCTTATGTGCACAATTTGATCTGTCAATAACTAACACTATGTTCAGACTGCCTGCCAAGCACAAGACGACGTGGATGCACCCGAGGCACTGGCATTTGATTGACTATGCTATCGTAAGACGAAGCGATATTTCACAAGTTCTGGTCACCCGTGTCATGCGTGGTGCGCACTGTTGGACGGACCATCAGCTTGTTGTCACCAAATTGCGCCTCTGCCTTCACCGTCCTCGAAGGTTTCCTAAAACAAAGGCACCGACCTTAAATATAGATAGGTTGAAAGATCTTGAGGCTAGGAAAAAATATGCTGAAGCCTTGACTGGAGCGCTACCTTCTTCCAATAACAAGAGTCATGACATTGATGCTCAATGGAAGTCTCTGTCTTCTCATATATTAGAAACTGCGAAAGCCACCTTGGATGTAGTAGTCCGTAAGAACGAGGACTGGTTCGATGAGAACGACAGCCTTCTGATGGAAGCAATCCGAAATCACCGACAACACTTACGTGGACGCTGTGGGAAAATGCAAGATAAATGCAATGCGCAGACTAAGCAAAGTGACCTGAAGCTGAGAAAGCTGTGTCGGGAAACAAAGGAGAGGTGGTGGCAGAGCAAGGCTCGTCACATACAGTGGCTAATGGATACGAACCAGGTTGGCAAGTTCTACGGGGAGGTTAGAAAGCTAATTGGCACAAACCATCATGTAAAGGTTCCACTTAAGTCCACTGATGGTAGTTACCTTCTAAAAAACAGGGGGGATGTGCTGAAGCAGTGGGCAGAACATTTTAACTCTCTGCTAAACGTGGATCGAACAGCTGATCTTTTGTATATCAGTGCAATGCTTCAGCTCCCCGAAGTTCTTTCACTGAATGAGCCTCTGTCTCGTGATGAGGTTGTTCTCGCCATTAAACAACAGCAGAATAATCGTGCGGTCGGCATTGACTCTATCCCAGGTGAACTGCTGAAGTACGGAGGCGAGAAGCTACACACATCGGTATGGGCACTGTTTGTTCGCATGTGGGAAGAAGAACGTTTACCGACTAGTTTTAAACTATCTCGCATTAGAGCTCTCTACAAAAAACAAGGGGGATCGTTCAGACTGCAACTCCTACCGTGGAATCTCACTTCTAACAGTGCCTGGAAAAGTCTTTGCCAGAGTACTTTTGAACCGCCTTATGAAACTTTCCGAAGAGATTTTGCCTGAAACACAGTTTGGCTTTCGGCCTAATCGGGGTACCTGTGAAGCTATTTTCTCATTGCGTCAACTACAAGAGAAAAGCAGAGAACAGGGCCAAAAGTTGTATATCTGCTTTTTTGACCTTAAGAAGGCTTTCGACAGCATTCCCCGCCAAGCCCTGTGGATGGTGTTGGGTAAATTAGGATGTACGGAGAAATTTGTTCGACTCATGAGACTTCTGCACGATGATATGAAGTGTTGCGTTGCTGTAGATGGCGACGAGTCAAGCTTCTTCCCCGTTACCTATGGGGTAAAAGAAGGGTGTGTTCTGGCGCCCACACTCTTCGCCCTGTACTTCGCAGTTGCTGTCCGTGATGTCTTGCAGAACTCACCGAAAGGTATTCGCATCCGTTTTCGCACCGATGGCAGTCTCTTCAACCTGGCCAGATTCAGAGCAAAAACTAAAGTGTCGTATGAACTGATCACTGACATCATGTACGCGGACGACTTATGCTTCCTTGCGGAATCCCCGGGAGACCTACAAAAGCTTGTGTCCGGCTTCCATCAGTCTTGCTGTAGGTTTGGATTGAAAATCAGTGTCAAAAAGACGGAAGTAATGTCCTTGGACATTTATGGTCGGGAGACACTGACTATCAACCTGGGTGAGGATGTGCTAAAACAGGTCGACAAGTTTTGTTACCTGGGGAGTATGATAACATCCACATGCGACCTTGATGCCGAAATCAACAGCAGGATTGGTGCTGCAGCTTCGGCTTTTGGTAAGCTGAATACCAAGGTTTTCCGCTCGCATAATCTGAAACTGGCCACAAAGATATCCATTTACAGCGCTGTCGTGCTTCCAAACCTCTTATACTCATCCGAGACGTGGACCACATATCGTCGCCACATCCGTACTTTAGACCGATTCCACTTAAAGTGCCTCCGAAAAATTTTAAAGATCAGCTGGTCCGACCGCGTACGGAAAACCGAAGTTTTACGGAGAGCTAAAGTATGTGGAATTGAGGTCTACCTTATGCGGCGCCATCTCCGTTGGGGCGGACACGTTTCGAGGATGGCAGAGGGTCGAATGGCTAAACGCATCTTCTATTCTGAACTTGAAGAGGGCAAGCGAAAGCATGGAGGTCAACTCCTCAGGTACAAAGATGTGCTTAAGCGCCATTTGAAAAACTGTAGTATTGACCCGTCACAGTGGGAGAAGCACGCAGCTAACCGCTCTAAATGGAGGTCTCTTGTAAAAAAAGAGACCTATGAATTTGAGTCCCGTCGATGTATTGAATTAGACGTCAGACGGGACGAGCTGAAAGCCCGCGGCAATAAGCTATAATTATGTCAGTAGTGTGCTCACATGTCCATTATACGCGAGGACATTTGTCAATAAAATTGGCTATGCGAGTCACGCTAGAGCTCATGAACGCTTAAAACACCGGAGCTGAAGCGGTTGCCGTGACCGATAACGGTCAGGAAGTAGTAGTAGTACTATCTGTTTATATTTTTTAAAATATTTTCTTAGCACTTTCCTTTTCAAGGAAACGAATTAACGTATTTATCCCACATTCGTATTTATAAAGTGACGAATTGAACAGGTTTTTACAAGTTCAAAATGTATTGCGACCACAAAGCGAATACCAACATCCTACAACTTACACAATTTTATAAACATATATAATAATTTTTTTACTTCATAGGTACTTTTTTAAATAATGTATATGTTTTGATATTATAAGATAGAATGATGTAAGTAAATAGTACCTATTTACTTACATCAGTGTATGTGTTGAGATCCACTATGGTGGACCCCCATTTTCATTTCATGGACCCCCATATTTTTTTTCGCTGACGTAGACCCCTTGCAGGTTGTCATAGACCCCTAGGGGTCGATATAGACCACTTTGGGAATCACTGGGCTAGTATATTATTTTGCATTGTGGTTTGGAAATTATGTTTGTTTTTTGTCACTGACTCACAAATTGTATCTGATATTTTTTTGTAATTAAGATACTTATTTTGTAGTATTTTCTCAATAATTGAACGTAAAAAAAATATTAGATTCGGTATCGACTTATTATAGTATTTATTACACAAAATGCCTCGATCGATCGGATCTCGCCATAGACGCCATTCATTATCTCGCACATTAGAGTTAGTTATAGGTTATAGACAATAGACATTAAAGTAAAGTAAAAAAGTAAGCTGAGAGTGAATTTTGACTGAGCACCGACAGAATACTACATTACATACACCGAGATGAAAGGCCAATGGGGAACGTCATAGTTGTTTTCTCTGGAGATTTTCAAAACCTTTCCTCTCATTACTCAGGGGACTAAAGCGAAGAAATAAATGCCTCACAGAAGCGTTCTTATCTCTGGCCTCAGAAACACAAGTTACGGTTTACAGTTAACGTGCGGACTCCGTTTACTTGCCCAAGAACTTTCCGATTTTCTGTTAAAATTTAAGAAGGCAGAAAGGATATTCTTTCAGAGAAAAAAGGGGAGGTGTGTCTTCCGGACATACTTGGTACAGTCGTTTTCTCCAAAAACAAACTGATAAGTTCAGTATTTGGGTAGCTTTCAAGTGTTAACATAACCAAGAATTTTCCTGATGATATCAGGATAATTCTTCGTTAGGTGAACGCATTATGCTCACTGCAAGCAATGACCAAGGCACAATTTGGCCGGTTGAGTTGTTAAGTTCGCTTACTGCAGTGGCCTTTCTGCATATAGAATCCCGCACAATGTCGGTTTAAAATTGTGCAATGGCGGATTCCATTTTCAACTTCATATAAACGTAACTTTTCTTCGGAATATTTTTTTAAGTGGGTTCATACAACAGACATGATTTTTTTGCCGTTTTTATAGATTATGCTATGGAAACCTTCGTGCACGATTGCGACTTGCACTTGGCTGGTTTTTAAATTTATATAATCATCATATTACAGACTATAATATAATTATAGTTAACTATAGGTTCATCCAATTCAGCTGTAGCTATAACTTTTTTTTAAATTATGAACCAATCTGAATAAAACTAACACTAAATGTAAGTGAAGTACTACAACGCATTAGTTAAAGTTCCGCCAAAATCGGTTAAGCCGTTTCTGAGATTAGCGCGCACAAAAGCACAGATACACAGAACAATTTTTACAACCATTGTTTTGGGTTCTATTGCGTTGATAAAGGTGGACCTCAGTTTTTCTCAAATGTCTTTCATGTACAGACAAAGACAAGTTACATTTTTATTATATGTATAGATATCTGTCTGTATCTGTCTGAATTTTTCGCTTTCACCCTATTCCACGCGGACGTAGTCGCGGGCAACAGCTAGTGTTGAATAAAGGAAAAATAAAACAGTATCAATTTTTTGTATTAAAAGTATAATTTAATCGGCTTAAAAATACAGATATTTCGGCACCGACCCACTTCTACTTTTTCTTTTTATGTATGTATTCTTTGATATAGAAGTCCATAAATAGGAACAGTATAAAGATGTTGTGCGGAAGGAATAAGAAGGACACCCACTTGGGGTATCCGCAGGACGGCTCGAACAGAATGTGCCCGAAGTGTAATATCAGGAGGAGGAACTGCAGCTGGAAAGGAAACTTTTTTGTATCATTTGTTTAACCTTTATAGAAATCCGACGTAACTTCAACGTGCGTTACCTACAACCTAAGAAGCTTTACAATATAATGGTCCTATGACTGAAGAAACTATATGGGGTAGAAATTCCGCTCTAAAGACAGCTTTTACTTAGAAGACAGGTAATGCATTGTCCTACCTAACCTCCTCGAGCTATTCTTCAGAGAGGTTTTTCCCAACTGTACCGTCTCGTCGGGCGCTACCTAGTTGTATATCGAAAATTTTTAATTTAAATCTTATAAGTTTGAACAATATAAATCTATTTCCAATTTGACCAAAGACTAACAATAAACAAAGAGTATAGATGTAGGCGTAGGATAAATAAAATCTTTATTTTGGGTATATTGTTACTATTTTCATCTTTATTTAAATTAATACATTTTAAAACACAGATACACGTTACTCGTTCGTGGCGTCGTTGCGAAAAGTCCCTCAATCCCTTTTACGTCATCCATCCTTCTCATTCACACAATACTTCGTTCAAAAATCATCTTTTACTCAACTATTAAATAATTAATCCTACAACTCGGCCATTATGCAAATCAGTCTGGCCTCAAACTGAAGCTACTTTACCACAGTTATACTAAGTACTTAACATTTTTTTTCCTTCTTCATAGACATAAGTGTTTAAACATACAACAAAAAAATAACAACACTAATTAGCTTATTCCTTTACAACCACAGGTAGTTTAGGCAGTTTTAGTAGATGTTTAAAAAATACAAAATTACAAAACAATTACTTAATCAGTCAAAAAAAAAAAAACAATTTGTATCAAGGCCATCGCTTCATATAATCTGAAGCTGATGTAGTTCTTATCGGCCCTTCTTTACCTCTGTCTATTTTCTCTACCTCATACCTACCCCTTCCCAACTCCTTTGTAATTCGATATGGTCCGTAGAATTTTGGTTTTAATTTTAACGCAGATCCAAACTGTACACGTTGTATAGCAACCAGATCACCTTGCTTGTACTTCTCTCCTTCTTTACGTCTTTTGTTATATGTCTTTCTATTCTCTTCTTGTTTCATCACTTCTACTCATAAATTCGATTCTGCTTTCCTCTTCTAAGTATTCCATAATAGATAAATCTTCTTTCAGCTTAAGTTTCACTCCCGTTAACAATTCAAAAGGTGTTGTGTTAATTGATCGTTGATATGTGCTATTAATGACTCTTTGAAGCTTACTCACATGCTTATACCAATGGCCTCGTTCTTCTATACACATCTTTGTTAAAGTAGAAATAATAACTCTGTTCACCCTTTCAACTTGACCATTTCCGCGTGGTATTCCAGTGGCAATAGTGATATGTTTAATGCCTTCCTCTTGACAGTACTTGAAATGCATTCCCTGTAAAAGCTACTCCTCGGTCAGTAATGATTCTCCGTGGGTTACCATAATCTTTCTGGTGCAACTTTAACTTTTCTACGGTTTCCTTTGCTGCCACAGTCTTAACAGGATAAATCCAGACGAACTTTGTATATCCATCAATTACAGTAAGTATGTAGTTATACATTTTCTTAGTTGCATCTAATGGCCCTAAATGATCACAATGTAAAGTATCCAGTGGTAATTCTCCTTTATCAATTGGATTTAAAAAGCCTTCTTTCTTACCAGACTTTCTACTCGCTAATAAACAGGGTACACAGGTAGAAACAATCTTATCGATTTTACTGTCTAGTTTTGTAATGTAATAATCTTTTTCTATTATATCCTTAATCTTCTTCTTCCCGAAATGTCCAATTCCATGGGCTTTTTTAATCAATTCCATATCCATCATATCAGGTAATACCAATTTCTTCTCCGGTCCTTTATAGATAACATCATTCTCTAAAAAATAATCTTCATATCCATTCTTTTCTAATAGTTTTCTGATAATCTTTAACCCTTCATCTTCTTCTTGTGCCTTCTTTATTCTCGCATCTAACTCAACATCAACAAAACAAATGTTTCTGCTCAATGCGTCAACATGTTGCATCTTGTCTCCTGTTCTATGTTCTATAGAATACTGAAAATCCTGTAAGTATAGTATCCATCGTGCTACTTTTTCAGATGCATCCTTTTTGTTCAAGGTTTTTTGAAAGGCTTCACAATCAGTGACAATTTTAAAGGGTATTCCTATAAGATATCTTCTGAATTTCTTCACGGCTTCAATAACAGCTAAAGCTTCTAACTCGTAACTGCAACACTTTTGTTGAACTTCTGTAGTCTTTCTGCTCATGTAGTGAACAGGATGTTGACAACCATCATTAGGGTCTCGTTGCATTAAAATAGCTGCATATCCATGCATAGAAGCATCTGTATGTAATTCAGTTTCCAAATGAACATCAAATATTTTCAACACTGGTTCACAACATAATTTTGACTTTAATTCGTCAAAAGCTTGTCTTTGAACATCCTCAAACTTAAACTCACCTGTTTTCACATAAATCACTTAATGGCTTCGCTATTAAAGCATAATTTTGAATAAACTTCCTGAAGTACGAAGTTAATCCTATGAAGCTGTGCAGTTCTTTCAAATTTTTAGGCACTGGAAAGGTTATAACAGCCTTTGTTTTCTCACTAGATGGTCTTATCGTTCCATTGGAAATATGGTAGCCTAAGAATTCAACAGATCTTTGTAGTATTTGTGACTTCTTCCAATTTATTTCGAGCCCATACTCCGCTGCCACCTTCAGCAAAGCTTTAAGTCGTTCAATTCCCTCTTTTTCATCTTTTGAAAGTATAATTATATCGTCAATAAATATCAAAACCACTCCTGTTCTTATAAAATCCGCAAATATGATGTTAATGTATCTTGTAAAGTATTTAGGACAGATAGAAAGACCAAACGGTGCTCTTAAAAATTCATACTGGCCTTCAGGGTTACTCGTTACAAATGATGTATACTTCACCGACTCTTCTTCAATTGGTAAGTGGAAAAAGCCATTTTTTAAATCGAGTGTGCTATACACATTCACTCTACTCAATTTGTCAATAAGGTCGTCGATTACAGGTAATGGATGTTCGTCTTTCAGCCTAATGGGTGCATCTTTGGTCTTCAAAGGTACGTAATCATTTATAATATCTTTTACCGCACTACATTGGTCATCATTACTGGAAAAAAGACATATAGCATTTTGATATAAACTATCGTAACATGGAGGCCTAATTTCAACGGCACCTTTGTCTATAACCGTAACAGTATTTACTAAGAATGGTTGACCTAATATTACATCATGTGGCATTACATTAGTTGGTACAATATAAAAATTAATATTGTAATGGTGATCGTCGATAATTAATTCCGTGTCGAATTTACCGATTGAAAATACTTGTGAACAACCCAACCCGGTAAGCAACATTCTGACAGGTGTATATCCAATATTTAATTTAGAAAAGAAATTTAAAGTTATTAAGTTTAAATCACTACCCGAATCAATTAAACAGTTCGTCACGAAATTACCTAGTTTTACATTTTTTATGCTTCTATTAATTATCGCATCACCTTTATCTACATTAAATACAGATTGACGTTTTTGAAGTTGACACTGAATCCCCTTACTGTCACAGACATTTGATATGCAGGCACTCGCTCTTTCCTTCGGATCGCAACTCATTACATTTCGTTCACGTTCACCTTCTTCATTCACGTCCACGTTAGCGGAACTAGCGCCCTCTGATGTCAGCGTGGGATATTGAATGAACATCGATCGTCGATCCCGCTTTGCATGCATTTGTGTTATTACAGGTTCCGTTTTCTTACATTCTGCGCCTATGTGACCGAACTCATTACACCTAAAACATTTTACACCTCTTTGACAGGAACTCGACAGATGCCCTTTCTCACCGCACTTGTAACAACGTTGGAATGTCTGTCCTCCAGTTTCCCGTTGTGCCATCGGCTTCATTACTGTTACTTCACTTTTGCTTATAGTACTCTTCTTGGTTTTCTGTTTGTAACTTTCATACAATGCTATTTTCTCCTTGAGCACTGAATAGGATGTAACACCATAGAATAATACTTTGTTTGATTCGTAGTCGTTTATGCCATCGACTATATACTGTATGGTGACGTAGTCTGCAAACTTAGCCCTTTTTCCCAATTCTTTCATGACAAGCATGTATTGATAAACCGTTTCATTAGCCTGCTTTTTCCGATTACTCATCATTTCATGCATTTGTTTGGAATTTATAGTATCAGGAAACTCCTTCATCAGAGCCGTTCTAAATTCATCATAAGTTTTTAAATGCTTTTTCCGTCTTCAGCCATAATTGTGCAGTACCAGCCAAGCACCTCCGCGCGATAATTAGCCGTTGTAGTTGGTTCCATCCGAAAATATCTGCGTTGTCTTCAATATCCTGCGACCATTTTGCAGAGGAATACGTCATATCATCACCCGTAAACTTAGGTAGGGAATCCATCAGGAAGAATGGATTATATTTACCATCGTCGTTATTGCTCTCCATCATCTTTAACCGTCGTAAATATTATCGTCGTTATTTTAAAGTGACAATTAATACGCTTCCTTTGTAACACGTAATGGCGGCTGGCGTACGTGATCACTTTCTCTCGTTATTAAAATACCCAAAAATCACTTTAAGCCCGTTATCCCGGACGAGAATTTTGTAGGCGTAGGATAAATAAAATCTTTATTTTGAGTATATTGTTACTATTTTCATCTTTATTTAAATTAATACATTTTAAGACACAGATACACGTTACTCGTTCGTGGCGTCGTTGCGATGTTAGAGATTTCATAACATTCCGCTAAGGATTACTGGCCACTTACAGATAACAGGTGTTACATTTGAAAATTGTACTGTTCCAGTGTGTGTCAATAGCAGTCGAGAGAAAAACGTTTTTGTAAAAACTGTCTTTCTATAATTATGTATTTCGTGTTAATTTAATATATTTTTATTATTCTATGTGTCAATAATTTATCTTCATTGAATTCATCATTGATTGGGAATAAATCTTTCCCATCATGCGAAAAGTCCCTCAATCCCTTTTACGTCATCCATCCTTCTCATTCACACAATACTTCGTTCAAAAATCATCTTTTACTCAACTATTAAATAATAAATCCTACATAGATATATATGGTACCGTCCATTAATCATTGCATTAGCATTTTTTAAACCCCCCCTGTGATACGTGGTGAGGTTTAAGACTACAACCCCACCCAAAATCACGTGTATTTTTTAGTACCTACAACGAATCTTAAAAGTTTTTAGAATATTCTATGAATACTATAATATAATAGTTTTTATTCTTAAATTAAGATGATAAAAATGTAATGGTGAGTCAAGGTCACGGCACTTTTCAGTTTAGAGATAGCTCGTTTGACGAAAAAATAATAAATAATACACTCCTCCCCCTTTCTTGGCTCACGTATTAATCACGGCCTCTATACGTGTATGTGTCAAATACATGGTAGTGTGTAATGTTATTATTATTGATTTAATGTATTTTTTATGCATAATTTAATTATTATTAAAATTTATTAAAAATAAATGCTAATATTTCTTTAAATAAATAATTTATTAAAAAAATATGAGCCATCTGCACTCCTTCTCTACATAAAATATAAGTGTGGGAAATTCCATACTCCTTCGTCCGCGCAATTTTCGTAAAAAGGGGTAGGTACAAAGTTTTTGCTTCACGTATTAATATATAGATGACAAATATCATCTTTTTTATATTAATTAGCAACTTGAACAACATCGTACTATCGTCCTTGCTAAATTAACGTATTTTTCACTCCATAGTATAAAACAAAGGCGTCCCGTTGTTCTGTCCCTATGTATGCTTAGATCTTTATAAAAGTACCCAACGGATATTGATGCGTTTTTTTTACTAGTTAGAATGATCCAAGAGGAAGGTTTATATGTATAATACATTGCACCCGTGTGAAGCCGGGGCGGGTCTTTAGTCTTACATAAAATCGAACTTGCCACAGAGATTTTTCGATCCGTTTCGTTCGTTTCATAACAAAAACTGTATAATTGTTTTAGAACAAAGTTACAATAGAGATATGTAGGTACTAAAGTATTAAGCATAGAGAGAATATTCACATTCTTAGGTACCTTAAAACTAATGTGGGTAAACATAATTATTATAATGATATAGCTCAACCAGAGACAAAAGATTTTTTTGTTGTATTTTAAATCGTATTTTTCTAAATGTTAAACTGTTGAGGTAGTTCAGATAGGTATGTGAATAGATTGAGAAAAAGAATAGCATGTTCGGTAACTTATGCTATTGCTTGCTCTCAATTTATTCATTGGACGCATAAAATTAAATGGTTTTAAAATATTCGTTATCAGAGGAAGGAATTAAAGTGTCTTTATAATCCACAATACGCCCGGTTTCTGAAATACTGATCGTCGTAGAAGTCAACTAATCATCTGTCAAATGGCTTTTCAAATTGTTAAAAGTTATTTGAGATGCCAAAAAGATAGTAAACTATGTTAAACTCTTTGAATTAATCATTCTGATCATTAAGATGATCATTCTGATCAGTTTCAGAAACCGGGCGTTACTTTACAGATGTAAAGTAACATTTTTCTAACGTTATTATTGTATGACGAAAATGTGAATCCAATTGAATTCGGTCACCTTTGTTTTAAGTTTTGAATTTTCTTAAAGCATTATGCAATTGTTAAGTTAGGTAGTTTGAGACCCCCCAGGGTGAAGCCAAGAGGAACTCACACTTGGCCGGCCTGTGGTGTAAAATGTAAAGTGAGTGAGATATTTGAAGTCGCTTTTTTACTCAAAATGTCATGTTCATGTAGGTATGCTATTTCAGCTGTGAGCTTTAAAGATAAATTTCATGTAAACTATTTCTTTTTTCGAACAAAATTCATGTAACTCACGATAATGCGATTTATTCGACGAGACCATTTATTTCAATTCAGATTTTTTTTTATTATGAATTGGCTAGTGCTTTACTATTACACTAGATGCTGGCGATGGTAATTGATGGAGAAAACGACTGAAAACGCAGTTACAGTAGGAATCACAACACTGCAATGGTAACAACAGAAACGCTGCAAACCTCAATAGACTAAATTCGTTGTGCAAATTAGACTAGAATAAATGAAAAAAAAATTGTGAGTACAGTCCGTAACTATTATGTAAAACGATTCAACTAGTTATCAGTCCCACATGGACGACATTTACAAGGTTTGTATACTATGGACACTCACGATTTGCATCTGCGTGATGTACTTTTTCCACCATTGTTGTACCCACTGCGGTCGTACGATGGATATTAGGTAGTAAGTGTACATCACTGCGTGCACCCATGAGTTTATGAATCCCAACATAATGCCGTGCCCACCTGTGGAGTAAAAGACACGTGAGTTTTATCGCGATATCAAGGTGTTAATAACATTAGACGATTTGTATCGTATACGGAAACCCTATTTGCTATACTAAACATTTAGTAAAGCATATAAAGTTTTATGATGACGTTGTTTGAAGGCTTTATTTAATGGCAACGCACCTGGCACATATTTGGTACCGATGAATCCTAACAAACACATGCCCATATGGTGGTAGACGTGCAGAAATGACACTTGTGAGAACTTCTTTCGCAGCACGAAGAAGACCTGCAAAATTAAGTTTAAATATGAAGGGATATTTCAACATTCCAACGTGGTATCAAATATTTTTCCAATTAGCATGCATTCAACCGGTCATGCACACATTTAGTTAGCTAACGTGCGAAAATTTAGGTATGTAAATAATATCTTTTAGTTTATTTTTATGAGCATGTTTTTAATTCAAATGCTCTTTGAGCCTAGAAAGCTCCATGACTTCATTTACATCACGGTGCACTTGCTCTGCAAATAGTTTGTTACAAGTTCCCGTATTTTGTCGAAATATAGATAGAGTGCTTAAATCACGTATTTGCTTACCAAGTTGCTTACCAACTTGTAACCGACAGTCCTAAGCCGAATCAATTAGTTTATACTTAATGATTATTTAAACGTTGTTGTAAAAATAGGATAAACATTTGAAACTAGATAAAATGTTTTTCATGAAAATAGAGATAAATTTAAATCTATTTCTAATTATGTAAGTACGCCGCGATGCCTCCTTGACTATCATGTCGTATTTTTTAAATTTTAGTTATAGATGGCAGAAATTGCATCCTCTCAGACTGTGCAGTTGTTTTTATATGATTCAGACGATGTATTAACGCCAGCCATATTATTTTGACAGAATGTTACCTGAACGACGTAGACTCAAACGACTGGTAACCTACCACGCTCGGCAGGGATACGCTAACCATTATTAAACACATTGGCTGAGCACGTTTGCCGGCGAATGCCAAGAACCTGGTTTGTAGCTTACACTCCATTTACACACTTCGAAACTCATTTGTTCGGGGCAGCATTGCACACTCAAATGGCACATAGAAATAATGTTTTGGGAGGTCACAAAGCTCTTAGGGCGCTTTGGCGGACGCCCCATTGAGTGACTTGGCTCAAGGACCCCGAAAGGGGACCTCGGCATGGGCTGTAACTCAATATCCGTTTAGCATTCCGATTCGAGGCTTCAGGAGAGGGCTGGACCTTGGCTCGATTCGTAGCTATTATCTGACTGGTTCCCGACATAGCAGAGCGAGTCAGCAGGCTGAAGTGGCAGGGGGCAGGGCACATAGCTCGAAGAACCGATGGCCGTTGGGGCAAAAAGGTTCTCGAGTGGAGACCACGTGACGGTAAGCGCAGAGTAGGAAGGCCTCCCACAAGGTGGACGGACGACCTAGCCAAGATCGCAGGGACGCGTTGGATGCAGGCCGCTAACGACCGGTCGAAGTGGAAGTCAATGGGGGAGGCCTATGTTCTGCAGTGGACGTCCTACGACTGATATGATGATGATGATGATGATCTGACTGGTCTGGCTTGAAGTAAAAGTGTTCGTCTGGTGATTGAGGTAGCCGGGCCCCACTTTAATAAAAGGTAACGCATCTGCAACCATTCGGGTGTTTGTGCATATGTCAATGGGCGTCATATAATTTAACATGAGTGAACCGTAAGCTCGTTTGCTACCTTCTCACGTAAAAAAATATTATTAATTCATTTCATTATAATTATGTTATCAATTTGTGTTCTGTTTATTCTTTAAAGTGATAATGAGTCACGAAATTTAGTGTTAACATTTTTTATAGTGAATTAAAATATTTTTATATTAGGTACTATATTGGTTTACCATTACTTTATTATCTGTGCTTAGTTAAATAAGGATTATTTATCCTCATATGTACCTATCTGGGTGCGAAACCAGAAGACGTAGGTTCAAATCCCGCAGCGCCGAAAGTTATTGCTCATTTTTTTTACAAAAAAATCACAATTTAAAATTTATGAACATTTTGAAATTTACGAAAACTCATATAGTTTTTGTAAATTTCAAAAGTAATTTTATACCTCATTATTAAAATTAATTCGTAATATAGGTATTATTAATTAACTATTTTGTAAATAATTGTTATGTGTGTTAAAATGTGTGTTAAAATGTACTTGAATAAGCTATACTCAATTATTATAGATAAATTTTGTGCTTAATAGCAAGTATCCGAAATTATAAAAAGAATATATTAATCAGGTTTTATTGAATATTTAAGTATGATATTAAATTAATATAAAATTCAGCCACAGAGTGGCCGGGTCAGCTAGTAAATATTTTAAACTAATAAATATTTATGTTTTTTATTTAGTTGTTGTTACATTCAATTATTAGTTTTATAGTTCCGGGAAGTTTATCAAAATTTTCCTTATTAAACATAAGTTCGCCAAGATTTCAATTTCTGGACAATAAATCAAGTTGTACCATGAGATCGAACCATATCGGAGCTCTGATTGTTTTTGACACACGCATTGGATTGTGTTAGGGCCACGCAATAGTGTTCGTATCACGAATGGGTAGGTCCGGAGAAGTACCACTATCTTACAGGAGACCACCTGTAGTGGAAGTGTACACTTCTCGTTTCGTCCAGTGAGTGAGGTAATTGGTGCCCACTTTATCAAAAGGTGGCAAACCACATAAAAAGAAAAATGTATATCTATTTAAAAAACTTGAATGCGACTACTTGGCGGTAAACTCGTCTTCTATCGCGAACCGTATATTGTTATCTTAATAAAATTGTCCGAGTACCAGGAGCCAATAAGAAGTCAATGAATCCATTACCGTATCAAGCAAATCGACGATTTTGATGAAATAGTAGAGCCACACTCGTTCTATGACGAGCCTTTCGATTGGCGTGTCCTCATAGTTGATCTTTTGACACCAAACGCTATAGTAGCCCGGCATGTACAACATTAGCAGGCACTGGAAGAAAACATCAGATTAAGACGTAGTGTATTATTTTTTTGCGTAACGTTATGAATGACGGTTAACTAATTCTTACCTGCAAAGCTAGAAATCCAGATAGGATTATTTGTACGATGTTGTATATGACAATCACCTCCTTCAGTTTGTAGGGGGGCCGGTTGGCCATATACGCTGGTCCCCAGACACGCACGAAGCGGTGGTACAGAAACAGTATCAAAATTATTGGCAGGGGTGTCGATACCAACAGAAATTTGTTGGTGCGCGGGTCTGAGGAATTATAACAAGTTAATTATTATCATCTTCACCGCCAACGTACGCCATGTAGCTCGACTTTTGGCTCAGGTAGATTAATCAAAACCAAGAACAAATTAATCAATAAAACACTTCTCGCATTTTTATACTGAGAAACCGACCCTCTTTGTGGCAGCCGTAAAAATATCGTGATTTAAACATACATTTGTATGAGAAACTTGTCTAATGAACTACCATTTACGTCTGTGTCAAATTAAAAAAATGCTAGGGAATTATTTCTGGTAGAATCATTAAGTATGGAGGTGATATGTATGTAACAAAAATTACTAACGAGCAGGTCAAACAGAGAACAAAAGTACAAGACCGTTTTATTCGAACTGTGGAATAAACAATCGAGGTTACGATACTAACACTAAACATTTCCCATTCCGGTGTATGCAAACTTTGAATTAGTCACTACAACAATTTTTTTTTATGTGAGAAGGTGGCAAGTGGGCTGGCGGTTCACATGATGTCAAGTGATAACCGCCGCCCATTGACATTTGCCACACCATTAATCACATTTAAATACATACAGTTGAGTACATACCTATAACATGTTTATTGCGAGGTTATTCCTGTATTTTCCCCTAAAATTTCTTTACAGATATTGTAAATTAACGAATATATATTTATTTCTTTTGTTTATCGGATTTGTAAAAGGTACAGGACGCGTATCTTTACCTTATAAAATATGTAGGGCGTTCTTCATTAGAAAGTTTATAAGATTGTTGCAATATGGGTAATGGCTTTAGCCATCTATGCCATGCCGCCGTTAGAGTGAAGAGTTAAAACTGTTACAACATTCAACTTTGAATTCGACAACCGAATGAAGGTTGCATTGTAAAGGATTGTAAATAAATAAATAATGGTGATATATTATTCACTATCACTTTTAGGGCGTCTGCTTTTTTTGTAAGCGGAATATGTAGCAGTATATAAGGTAAACTGTAGAAGTGAACTAATTCAACCTGTGACCCGCTCGGAATGCAACTCATGCCTGTTTAATATTAATTAGGAAATCATTTTAAGTACAGCGCAGGTTCTTTACCTGCAAGTTCATTGTTTACATAATTGTAGTATACTGTTACATTTCCAACCAGGGAACCCATCTCTCTGCACCTGAAAGGAAAGAATGCATTTATTATAATCATTAATCTATTTTTGCAGATGCCGCAAATCAGCAGACGTTGGGTTGCGTTGCGTTGGCTAACTCTATTTGAATGACCCGGAAGAAATGCACACTTATATTATTTTATGTAGTAGATGACGAATGAGCAATCCACTTATTGGTGGTGAGAGTGATCAAAGTCAAAGGATATTCGCAACACCATAGGCGTTTGTATCATACAAAGGCGTAGGACATCCGCAGTAGAGCAAAGATAAAATCGCAAACAACATTCTATGCAAATTACAAGTAAAGAAATATTAAAAACAAGTGTCTTCAACAAACTGTTCGGAGATTCATTCTTTTTACAGCCTACCCACGTATACGAAGTGGAATTTTTAATATTCTCCCTAGACAATCACAAAGCTGCAGGTCTAGACCGATTCACTGACAACTTGATAAATCATAGGGACCTGATTTTACAGCCACTCACTGATTTATTTACCCTCTGTATAGAGGAGGCCTTTGCCCAGCAGTGGGATATGTTTAGGCTGTTACTTTACTTTACTTTACACTGATTTATTTAATAACAGTATTCAAACTGGTACTTTTCCTAATACTTGGAAAATAGCTTCCGTAATTCCTATATAAAAATGGATCCAAAAATGACGTAGAAAACTATCGGCCAATTTTTCTCCCTCTTAAAAATATGTGTCAATAAAAGACTTATTCCATATTTAGAGACTAAATATATGTTTTCTCCGAGTCTGTTTGGCTTCAGAAAAGGCAAATCAACAAAAGATGCCATCTCCTCGCTAACCACAATCTTGGCGTCACATTTTGATAATAAAAGAGCAGCAATAGGCATCTTCCTAGATTTGAAGAAAGCTTTTTTGACATCGCTTCCATCGCTATCAGCTCAGAAAGTTGCAAGGCCAGTTTGGTATTAGAGGCACAACTCTTGAATGGTTCGAAAAATACTTGAGTAATAGAAAAATAATTCTTAATATCTCAATGGTGTACAAGGGAATTGGTTTTGGAGTTCCACAAGGTAGCATCCTAGACCCAACACTCTTTATAATGTGCATGATCTGCATACTTGAAATAACCAATGCAGAAACAATATGTTATGCGATGGTATTATAATAGTGTGTAATGGCTCTTCCTGGCATGCCACATTTGAGAATGCAAACTCAGGCATGAAGGTAGTGCATACGTGTCTACAAAAAAATTAACTTACACTCAATATTAAGAAAAAAAAAACGGCTGCGGCTAATCCAAATATTAAGTATATCAAATATACACGATTGTGGAAAACAAGAAAGCTGCGACTGTGATCACATACAAATAGTGGAAAATATAAAAATTTTGGGCGTTATTATTGACCATTACTTGAATTTTAAAGCACGTTTAAATTTACTTTCAAATATAGTTCGTAAAACAGGCAATATAATAAAATAACTTCGCCTGTCAGCTCAAGTATTCACTTTACACACACAATAGTCATTCAGTTTATTTCATACTTTGTCGATTGATCAACAAGCATAACTTGCTGCGGATGTGCATCAAAAACCTTGTTACCTGTAGAAAGAGAGCAAAGATCTGTGTTAAAACCATGCTTAACAGACCTTTTAGATATCCGACAGCTAATATCTATAAATAAAGCGCTTTCACGCCAAAACTACTCAACCGATTATCATAAAACTTTGTACACGTATTCTTGAGGTATAAAAAAGGACATAGGATTGTTTTTTTTTTTTAAAATACTTTTGTAAAAATTTTCTATTTATTTAATGGCTTCAACACGAAGCCGGGGATAAAAGGAAGTATATATATAAAAATATAATTGTTTTTTCAGTTTCAATCTCCATTTATTTATTTTGTCTTATTAAATTAATATGATGAATTAATATTACTGTTGAAATAAGATGTAAAAAAAATAATAAGATTACAGATTGTATGTAAGTAGTCAAAACTTAACTAGTATGAAGCGATCTTTCGACCGGCAAATTTGTAAAATAGATGCCAATCGTAACTGGAAACCACAGGGCAGGCTTTGCCTAGTGTGATGCCCGTAAAATGTACTTAACTGTAATTCTGTATCAATTAATATATTTTCATTTTCATAGCTCAGAATCTATTATAATTAGTAAGCTGGTGTGGCGATGGGCCGATCGTAGAACCGATAACCGTATTGGCCATCGCACTGTACGACAACCCCCCTACTAGGTGGAAATGTCCTGTGAAAATGTACGGGAAGTGGCTGGATGCAGGTGGCTCAGGATCGTGTTTCGTGGCAGTCTTTTTAAAAAAAAAAAAAACATTGCCCTTACTTTGGGATAACATTATCCTGTGTTGTAAGGACGTTTTACAAACATAAATTTCACGTGGACAAACACCCAGATGTGCAACAACTGTCTGTGGGCCACACAAATAGTTGTTCCGTGTGGGAATCGAACCCACGACCCCCGACGCCGAAGCCAACACCTTGGCGACTGCGCCACGGAGTCTGTGGGGGAGACCTGTTTTAGAATCTAACAGGCTGTAATGTAGATGATTATGATGAAAGGCGTTAAACTTAACGCCATCGTAGCTGCTCTGTAACTACTCTTGTCATCCCGAGTTAGTCCATTCATCTGAATAATATTAATGTTTATTACTAATGCCTTTCTAATAAGCATTATTGATCTATCAGTTATTTGCTCTAGAGTTGGTAGTATTTCTTTTAGATTTTAGCAATTTAAAGTTACGTCAAGTTTTTGATAGAACTCAAAAAAACGTCAATTAGGCAAAATGAAAATTTACTGTTAAATTTTATAATAATTAATAATTTTGCGTACAAAGCTTTACTTCTTATGGACAGTGCTCCTGATATCCTTCCGAGTATTAAATAAAAAGTCAGTCAATATAATAGAAGTTTCATTTACTTTTTCTGTGTTCAAGCTATCCGGTACCCCGAGTTTGAATTTTAATCTTACTGAGAACTGAGTTATAAACATCCTATGAAATTAGGGACCATGGGTTCAGAAAAAAGCAGTAGAACAAAAAGTAGTATCATTTTCTGTTACTATCACTGGAGGAGGAGATTTCAACTTAAAATAGAAAATAGGTTCTAGGTTAAAAAAAATTGAAAATTTTGAAAAATATCTTGACTATTATTTTCAGTATTATCGGATCTTATATATGATTACCAAAAAATAGGGAATCAGGAAAGAAAAGGATATTTTAATTATAAATGAAAATAATTTAGGTTTATTTTGATTAAAGCTGAAAGGATTTTAACCATCAATAAAGGCCGTTTGTTTCTCAACATTCTTAATCACAATTTACATCCATGGGCTAAGCAAATGGAAAGTAGTATGAAATGTAATACACATTGTAACGAAATGACGCTAATATGGTTAACGCTGTTATTGCATTTAATTATTCTGGGCAACACTCACTCTATTGTCCTTTCTTGTCATCTTCGTGTCATAATGGACAGTCATCCTTGTTTTTTTTTTTGGATTTTATGGCCCGGTATCAAGGACCTTTAGGCCAAAATCATCCTTGTTTATTTTGTCGAAACCACAGTTAATAGTATATTGTTGGTGACATGCTTGATTGCTTTTTTTACATTTTTTGACATCTAGCAATCTTTGCTCTGCTGCTGATGTCACCTTTGTGTGATGTAAACGCCTATGGTGTTGCGTATATCCGTGATGTTGATCACTCGCCGTCAAATGAGTGGATTGCTCGCTTTGTCATCTAGTTCGTTAGGATAGGAATGCGGTAGGAGCATTTGACTAACTAATGTTCGGTGCGTCAATCTTCGTTAATCAATTATCTAATCCATCCTTTTGCCACTCAATTGTGTCCATAGTAGGCAAGAGGGTTTTTAAATATGTTTATAAAGAGATCTAGTTGCAAGTGGACCCACGTAACGATTGTCCCACGTCCACGAAACATTTCACGGCACGTGTAATTCCAAAGCAATTGCACACGGGAAATGGCAACGGAAGATTGCTAACAACAATCGCTTCGATTGCGTTAAGCGCATTTGATTAGCAACTAAATTTGCCAACCAGCACATACATGCCCACTTGCACTTGCCTTTGTTACTTGGCCTATCGGATTAAATAAAACCGACCAAGTGCGATTCGAACTCACGCCCGCAGGGTTCCGTACCATTAAATCTATAAAAACGGCAAATAAATCATGTCTGTTGTATGGGAGCCCCACTTAAATATTTTTTTTCAGTTTTTTAATATTTGATGTTATAGCGGCAATAGAAATACATCATCTGAGAAAATTTCAACTGTCCCACTATCATGGTTCATGAGATACAATCTAGTTAGAGAGAGACATACAGACAGCGACAGTCTTAGTAATAGGGCGGGACAGACGGACATCAGACAGACAGACAATGGAATCTTAGTAACAGAGTTTAACCCTTTGGGTACGGAACCCTACAACATTATTGTTTTAAAATGACATCCAACCTCGGAATTAGTATTCCAAAAAATACGAGGCCACAAAGCTCATCAATTATGTGATACGCAGTCCAGTTATATTTTATTGTTAATTTTAAGGAGTATTACATTTTAAAATCGTGATAGAATCTGTATCTAAACTTTAGAAATAAGTGTTAATGTAAAGCAAGTAAAGTAAAGCAAAGATGGTATCAAGATGGTATCACTGCGCATTTGCAGAATTCATACACTTTTTTTGTTATTATGTCGAACACATGTCTGGTGGCATGATCACTTAATTTGACAGACTCTTTTCATGTGTTTAAGCCATTTGCATTTGACATGGGATGCTTTTCAGATTGAGACATAGATTTTAATACCATTTAATTATTTATTATGGCCGAGCTGTTGCGAAACAAAACTATATCGATCATAATAATTCAGTCAGCACTAAGCGCTCAAAACTATGAACAGACCACTCACTAATCAGACACAGTCCGAAAGGTCCAGCTTAGTGAATAACTAAAATTATTTTAATTTATACAGATTTTATATTGTTTATTTTCCCTCTAAATATTATGTATAAAGCGACTAATCACTTGAAACACTATAAAGTGACGTGTAAACAATAAACAATATTTTAATGAATCATTACAGCTTTTTTAGAGCGACACCTATTTTAGAGTAATGCCAAATTATTATTCAACGGGAAATTATTTGTTGTCGACTCTTGATTGTGCTTTGCGATAAAAACGGGAAAATTTCCATAAAAGTTATTTAGGGTAATAAATGTTCCTTAAATGGAATAGACATTAAATTACTTCCTCAAATAAAAAATAAATATCCTATCACCTTAAACCTTTTTTTGAACAACTTTTTGTGTCCCATAACGATATAGGAAACCTCCTTGTTGTTGTTTTATGTTAACATACCAAGATACCGGTAAAATGGTCTCTCATCTACAACCAACAAATTATATCAATTTGAAACAAAAATACGTAAATAACAAATTTTCGAAGTTTTACTTCTTTTGGTGCGTTTGGAAAACATTAGGAGTGTAAAAGTTTTACGATACGATGCAAGCGCACACCGACCCTCAAAAAGCGACATGATCCTTGGTTCCATGGTAATTTTGGACATTTAGCTAGAATTCTAAGTTATCTAATAAACCTTTATCAATTACATTTAATGTCTTAACGACAAAAAGGACGCAATGATATGATATTGTATACAATAGATATGACACTGGCGCACCAAAACAGTGGCACTCAAATAACACCAATTGGTGTATTTTTATAGACTGCTATCTCTTTCCGTTATCTTTTTTTTGTTATTTTTTTTTCAATGATTAACATCTGTCACATTCACTTATACATGTCATATAACGTAAAGCGGACAAATATTTAAACGCCACGCAGTATGGACATGCGTCATCTTTATTTTAAAACAACATTGTAAGGAAGTAGAACCTCTTACGTGCGTACATAAGTACACAAATACTTTTTTTTGAAAAACGTCTTTTTTTCTAATATATTCAAAACATTGAATCGATTAATAAATACGTGTTGTAAGTCGGTTGAACGATACCTTTTCACGAGTTGTACACGAGATTCGTTGCTAACTACATTTTATACACGCGTAGGTACCTACAGGTTATTATAATAAAGCCGTTCCTTCCGTCTAATTCGTTCTAAAAATGTCCGCCGGCCAAACGAGCATACATAAATATGGAAAACAGGACAGTTCGATTTTGTAAACAGAGTTCTATGTTCAGACATTGTTCTCACCGTGCGTAAATGCGAAATGCGTAAATGGACGTTGTAAGTTGCCTGTCATCACAGTAGCGTCAAGTTGGACTGAATCCAAGTTGACCAACTCATGTTATTCGTAATGATATATCAGGGAGATGGTAATGGAGCACGTCTTAGGCACGTCTTGGTAGTTACGAGAGAAATCGCTTTAAGCAAACGCATACCCGCTACTCGATATTGATATTATACTAATAATATGACGAAAGGAAGAGAATTTCTTTTTTAGGTTCCATCTTAGAAATTTTTGTATCGGCTTCACAACATTAATTTTAAAAATTACTAGTCAAGCTTTTTAAATGGATGATGAGGTTTACGCTACTAAAACTATTTATTCTGTCTCGTTTTTCTATTTTATTTTGTGTAACTGACTCAATATAAGTATATGAAAAAGTGTGTATAAAATATTAAATGTTATTATCTCTTTCGCGAGATAAATTTATTTCATTCCTAAAAGGGAAGAAACATTATTCATATGAAGACAAAAAATAATCTAAAAACATGTTTCTAATGTTATGTTTAGATCTAAGTATTTATCCTATTTGATAAGCAAAAAATATATTTACATACCCGTAACTTCAATTAGTCGTTTGCCAGGTATACCCTATATAAATTAGCACGATGCACAGAACACACAAAAAATATACTTGCAGGCGTTGAAGCCGTATTAGCTAATAGTATAAGTGGTTACTGTTTAAAATACGTATAAGATGTATTTCGTTTTACATTTGCGTGGAACCATAAGCTGTAAATATATGAAATACCTGTGCGCGGGTACGTCGATGTCCTATCAAGTTATCCGCAAGATTGAGCGCAAACCGCTCACGCACCGGCATTTGGGTATCGATAAATGAATGAAGTGGTTTGAATGCATACTTTCACAGTTCATTGAATTTATCAATAGTAAAATATTGTAATTAAGCGAAATAGGTACGCAATTAGAGTACAGCACCGTAATTTTCTGAGTTTACTTGTAAAGCGCCAAAAACAAAAATTAATATTCTGAATTTTTATTTACTTTTTATAACTTACATACAAATAACACTTTTTAGTTTGGCATTATAGTGCGAGAAATAAACTAGAGGTTGTTCTCGGGTAGTTACATGGTAAATAACGTTTAAATGTATACCATTTGCTATGTGTATCAGACAATGGTTTGTTCTTCTTTAATTTAAGAGCTAGGCACTTGTCGATGTATTCCATTAGTCCAGCTGTGTAACACCCTCCATGCTTCCTTGTTCATAGCCCTTTCATTTACCTTAATTACTGTATAGGTATATTATCTGTTACCTAAATTTTTTTTTTTGTCCAGCCACTATTATTTCCCATATTTACTCGTCTTGTTACTTTAACTTGATTCCACACTACCAACTAATCGGTGTTTTTAACAAAATGTATTTTGATGGATTCTTCGCAGTTCGTATTTGGATGCGGTAATATTGATGTTTTCACTAAACGGCGTACGAAATCATCTGGAACTGGTTGTGTTAATTACATTACAGGTTTCTATCTATAATCTGACAAAATAATCTTTTTATACTTACAAGTGTATAATTTAGACGAAATTGACATTAAAAAGAGCTTATTTTTTTTTTTTTATGGAATAGGAGACAAATGAACAGGCGAGTCACCTGGTGATAAGCGTTCACCGTCACCCATGGACAATCGCTACACCAGAGGTGTCATAAATGCGTTGCCGGCTTTTGTGGAAGGAATAGGCCATAGTCGTATTGGTCCGGAATTACCGCTGGCAACAAATAATTCCACAACTTGGTTGTGCTTGGAAAGTTACGCGAAAAACGCACTGTCGGTATCGTACCGGCAAAATTTAGAACAAGGTGTTAATCCGAACAACTCCTCAGAGCCCTTCGCGTGATAGATTCGATAAAAACACAAAGAGATGAAACATTTATTACTTGTTTTTTCTTTCACTTGTTTACATAATTACATTGAAAGTACAAGACTTTCGTTCGATATACTATAGTCAAGGAATGCATCATATAGGTATGCACTACTTAGTGAAGCGAATTAAATTGAAATCAGCTAGTGTTTAAAGTTCCCAGTGCTAAGAAATTTTGTTATAATAGTGTCTTTTACTTCGAAGGGTTAATAATTCGCTCTAATTTTCGATGATGAATTTGTATGTTCTCTTACAATGATTATGTGCTCAGATTCTAAGTTCAAAAAAGCTTTGTTTATCAACATTTTTTCTAAGTTTTATTTAAGTTCATTAAAAAGTCAATTGCAAAGCCCTTGTTTTCAACACAGCGGTTTTCTAATGCCACACATGCTGAACTTTATTGAGTCTTTCTAATGTAGGTGTTCCTTTGCAGAGCTTTTTTATCATTATTACCAAAGAAAAACTTAATTTTAAATTTAAACATAGTTTTGTCGTTTCAGTTTAATAATGTAAGTGGACCTTTACTATTTTGTTATAATAAATTTATATTTTTACACCTGCCTAAACATCTCACCATAGGTTGACTGGCAGAGAATTCCTAAATCTATTAATTCCGCCTATTGTGTCCCGAATTCAAGGAAATGTAATAAACACTAAAGAAATAAATATATAAAGTGGCAAAATAATAAAATGATTATGAAATTTTCAATCTAATTAGAACTGCACCAGGTACCCCTCAAATCACTCACACATGTATCGCTTGATGGTGCTTCACTTTCTATTTCTATTCGTGGCGCGGAGACCAGTATATTTTAATACTCTGTGCTCTTCTTCAAACTTATTCAATTTAAGAACAACACAACATTCACGCCACGAACTCACGAGAATTTTGCGGCACGGCAAATAAGAAGCTACTAACATCGAGTTTTGGTGCGGCCAATGTTTCGGCCAAACTTCAGCCGAGAGCGAAATTCTGGCCTTGGCTGTTTGGCTGATACAGGCCGAGATCAAAACCGAATTATGCCGTACACTACACACACAAGCGCAGCGGTACAACAACGTTAGATTGTATAAAACTTGTTTACCTTTCTCAATGATATCTAGTTTTAGAATTAATTATTAATTAGTATGTGTATATTAAAAGAAACCTTAACTCTATTATATATTTTCGACCATATTAATAATGTGTACCAAGGCGACGTGCGCTTCTTTGACCTGAATGCAGATGATTTAGTTAAACTCGACGATTAGTTTTCAATTTTCGTATGTATGACTGTGTGTCTTTCTATCGTTCTCAACTTCAGCGGTTACCTATTCGCCAACGCCGCTCCGGCACTACCACGCTTTATTATTTTCTTGATTATTCTTCTACTCCTTCTTACTTATCTCCACACAATAAATATATTTTTTCAGGCGTATTTAACGTCGTCTACTCCAGTGTTTTTCTGACCGCTCTGGTTCTATGCACTCATCTTTCTTTGTCCAATCTATTCATTTGTGGATTGCGCTGCATTTTGAAATCGGGACGGCAAGTCTCTTCGCATTTAAAAGAAAACCTCGCGAGTACCTGCTCAAAGAATTGTCGACAGATTCACGGGATTGTTAATCATATAAGTATGTGTATTATATATGTGTAAATTTAAGTCTTGTATTGACTTTGTTAAACGATAAAATTATTGACATGATAAATTAATTGGATTATTCGCATAAAACTAAGAAACGCTGTCACAGAACTGATCAACAACGGTAGACTTCATAACTTGGTTTTGTATGTTGTGTTTTTTTATGTGAGAAAGTGCCAGCTGTTAGTTCACCTGATGTTAAGTGATAACCGCCACCCATGGAAATTTGCAACGCCCATAGGGTTGCATATGCGTTGCCACCTTTTAATAAAGTGGGCCCCGGCTTCCTCACTTACCAGAGGAAACGCAGAAGTATGATACTTCCATTTTACGCCGGTCTTCTGTGAGGTTGACCACGACCTAGTTCCGTCCGGGTAAGTTGGTACCCGTACGGAACTGCCCATTTGCGCAACAGCCTTAACTGTTGCGTGGCTGTACCACAATAACTTTATTAGTGTTATCTAGAAAGTGTTTTAAAATGTTAATCGGTTGTGATATATGTTCTGCACATAAGTAAAAACGCTCAACATGGTTATCCTCGGCTAATCTAATTTTAATTCAAAGATTCTCACATAACGTTCCTAACATGATTATTCAAGGTCCCGTTTTATCCTTTGGGTACGGAACCCTAAAAACGAAAATGTTACAATTTTTTTACTTGTTTATTCTTGATTTAATATATTTATTAATTTAATCAAAAAATTTGCTAAAACTGGCTATTTATTTATTAAAAAACTTGAAGAGATTAAAAATTATTGCTATTATAAAAATTATATTTCTTGTTAAAAATAGTTTAATAATATACTGTATTTTTTAATGTTACCTAAGTTTCACATCGCAAATCGTTAATAAACAAGATGCTGATAGAATCATTTGATTATAAAAAAACTAATATACTCCACACTATTTGGCTACGCTTATAACAGTTATTATGAATATTTATAAACGTGTTTTAGTTTGGTACGAATCAAAGGGCATTTTACAACCGAAGCACATCGGAAAACTGGGAAGTTCTGACCTCTGCTATTCATGACTGAGCGTTTTAGTATCGCACGGTTGTATGCAACAAAGGCTAAGGTGAATGACCCGTCGATGCTGTCTACCCATAATTGTCAAAATTTAAATTTTTTTAACAGCCGGACACTCGTATCAGAGTCATGGATATTTTAGGTCGTTGGCCGGAGTAAGCCTATTTTTACAAGCTTTTATTTAGTTTCACCTGTCCCGATGTTTGTCATCAAATCTTAACATTAAATCTGCTCCACTTCGAGGTTACCGGTTGAGCTGAAATTTTGTATACATGTGTAAATCGCGTGACAATTAATGAAATATTATGATGACAGGGTGCTGATCTGATGATGGATCTGGAAGGTGTCCTGAGGCACTTCGCAATGAAACGACATAACCTCATCGAGTTTGGGCTCGTTTGATTCGTCTTGACGAGAGGTTTTAGTGCAATATGGTAACCAGCGTCTGATGATGGAGCTGGAAGGTGGCCATAGGAACTCAGTTTAAGGGACACAACCGCGTCGCCTTTGATTCGTCTTAATGTGCGGTGTGGATTCGTCTTAACGGTGAACCGTTTTTAATGGGTGCTGAGTAGTTGTGGTTTTGGTGGACGTGAATAGGCGGCCTCATCTTTGGGAAATAAAGTTCAATCGTTCCGTTTGTTATGAATGTGAATTCTGTCTTTGATATTATGTCTTTGATATGGATATATTTGATAGATGGAATATTTAAATTTATTAAAATGTGAATAATAATGTCTTTGATATTATGTCTTTGATATGGATATATTTGATAGATGGAATATTTAAATTTATTAAAATGTAAATAATACTAAAAAGTAAAAATAAAAAAAGAACTTTTTAAAAACAAGCTTCTATTATGTTATTGTTAATAAAAAAGAAAGCGTGTTGCATGTGATTGCAAAAGAAAAATAATGAAAGTGTAATTATGCTTACTGTTCTTTAATGTTTCATCACAATGTAATAATGTTCCATCCCAATGTAACACGCTTTTATTTATAAAAAAAAAATTTTAAGTATGTCTACAGATATTAAAAACCTTATAAATAATGTAATGGAATACATTGAACATATGTACTGCACACATGAGCATAAACCAAAACCAAAGTTCGTTAACATTTAATGAGCAATGACTACAAGTTACAGTTTACAAATATAGATCTGTAATTTCATTAAAGATTGTACTTTAAGTCTATTCTGTAATATTTCTACCATAAAAAAACCATTAAAGCTTTTTTTCTTTTAGATAAAAAGTGACAAAGACGCAAACGTTAATACTATGTTAATTAAAATGATGTTTATGTTCCTTTTATAAATTTGAACTTAGATGACTGTTACATGCTAACGACTGCATTTACGAAATAACCTAAATATAAAATTTTATTAAAATTTATTTTTTTTTCCTCATAATAACCTTAAAAACATTTTATTCATACAGTTTTTTTAATTGATTTGGCAGAGCATAGTTACTACTATGCCTGATTTAATTTTTTTACGTAATAGTGACAAGAATAAATGACACGGAGGGAAATCTTAAAACCACTCGGAATTGAAGTTAAATACTAAATGTGCTATTACTGTTCGGGTATCACTGTACATTTGTTATGTTTTTACTGGGTACTTACTGTTACTTTGTATTTTGCGTAATTTGTAACTTTGTACTTTGTATTAATGTAGAATATCTTTTATCGATAAAAGATATTCTACATTCAATCTTTCATGTTGCTTCCTTCATTTAATCTTTAGGCCTACCGCTTCATCAAAACGTGGGATCTCTTAAGTCTCAGCTTCATTAAACGTGCTTCCGAACGATGTCCTGTTTTTCTTCGATATGCTCGAAGCCCTGAGTCTTTATTCAAGACCGTTTCCACCGTGGTTCTGAACCAATCTAAAGACCCAACCGTTTCAGCTTACGTATGGGACTTCTTTGGATTCGCGCCTTCACAGCTGTTTTCATTGCGGGAGTCGTAACCGAGCACTTCTTTTCACATTTGAATTTCCATTATATCGTTTGATGGAGCGATAAACTAATCTTTTGGTTATATTTAAATTTTTCAGTAGTTCGAAAATCTGATATTGAGTGTAACCTAACCGATGCAACGCGATAACCGCAAGTCGGTCTTCTTTAAGCGTCCACTCAATATTTTAATGCAAATGAAATTCGAAATCGTGCACATTTTTGTTTTTGTTTATTTTTTTATGATTTATTGCAAAACCTTAAAAAAGGGTTTTAAAAGGCTGACTTAATGGCATTTGGGCATTCTCTCCCAGTCAACCAGGGACGTGGAGAGAAATTGTAGTAGGTGCAATAACCTAAAAAACTACTATAAGCTAAAAATACTACACTAGTTGATGATATTCTTCTTTAAGTAATAGTCTCGTACTAACTGCTTAAATGAGGTTCTGCTAGGTACTTTTCGAATGTCTTCAGGTAAGGAGTTCCAGAGCAGTGCAGCCTGAACGGTAAAATATTTACCAAAGAAAGTAGTGGCTTAGAGAGGAATTTTAATCTTTATATTAGATGAAGAACCAAGATGTCTTTCATTAGATTAAGAGAGGTATTGAAAGTATGATTAAAGTTCGAATTCAATAATTATTTTTGTAGATAGCATTCAAAAAGCAAGTTTTCGTTATGTGACAAAACTTTTGACCGGACTAGGTATATCTGTAACCTAATTATGGATTTGTACTACTCTGGTTTTTTTTATTATTTTGATTATTTTTTAGAACCTAACATACGCAATGATTTCTCTTATTCACTCGGATATTGCATCTTCAGTAGCTTCTTGGTATATGTTATTAAAACGAGCCGCTACCCGTTTTAATAACATATGGCAATAATGGCGGATGCTGTATTATATTTAATGTCAACTATGCCATATGTCAAAATGAAGCAGCTCTGCTACTTGCAATTTATTTAACTTTACTTTTTAAAATTATGGCCCGCAGTGTCTTCCATTCCAATTTGAAGAGACTACATGAGGGGTCTTATAGCTGCACGCAGTATTGCGTTAGGACTGTTGTAAATTTATCGTACAAAATAATCGAGAGCACAACCGATGTCTCGGACAACGCGCCCTTATTTCTGTTGCACGATTTGCTATCTAGCAAGCAGCAATGGAATGGTTTAGGGAAGACAATACACACTATGACTAAACGGCCGGTTGTCACAGTCGATCTCCGCAACCACGGAAAAAGCCCCCACGTCAGCTCAAACAAATACGATGAAATGTCTGAAGACGTGCAACAGTTACTGGAGAAATTATCTGTGAAAAGAGCATATTTTCTCGGACACGGAATTGGAGGGAAAGCCGTAATGGTAACGGCATTATTGGCGGTAAATAAGAAAATATTTCAACTATCTGTGCATATCGTGTTGACCCTATACAATAATACAATTATTAACACATCATCATCCGACATAACAATTATCTATTTGGCGTACATGCGTTTCTTCGTTATATTTTCTGATTTGCTAAAAAATTCTACCTAAGCGCCTATGTATAGCAGTAGACTAGGCTGAAATGATGATGATGATGACTTATCACTAAAGTATATCAGCTATAGCGGCAGAAGTCATGATCGTCGCTACCTTTATAGCAAAGTGAAACATTTCTTTGGCAATGTAATAAATAGAATAACTGTTAAAAACAAATGGGACGCTAACTACGATTTAGTTGTGGTTATGTGTTTTTAACAACATATATTAAAATATATAAATTGCAATCCGATCATTTTTAAGAAAGGGAAGGATTACGATTTGATCATTTATAGAAAAGATTAGGATTTTTATTTTTCGTGGATCCTTATTCTATTTTTCCCTATACATACATTTACACACAGGGTATATTTTACGCCTGCATCCTCAAAATGTCGCCGGTTGATCCATTATATGGAGGTTCTTCTATGCCCTTATGATGCGATTTCTATATTTATTGCAACATTATACTGACTACGAGTCATTGTATGATTCAACATCGTCATTATATGTAATATATTTAAACTCCACAGCCACAGAAAGTTGCCGGAATGATTATTGTAGATGTATCACCCGCGTCATCGCCGAATAAATTTAATGATGTTTCCCTTAATATTATGAAGTCAATGAGCGCCCTGTCCTTTAAAGGGGACAAGAAATTGGAAGAAGCTAAAAGAAGGGCGAAGAAACATCTAAAGGTTACCGTAAGTGACGATGTGACAATGGACTTAGTCCTTTCGAATTTAATTTTGAAATCCGATCACACCATTGGCTGGTCCTGCAACATCGAGGTTTTGTTAAAATATTTCGACGTAATCGCCTCGTTCCCTCGCTTAAAGCGGAAGAAATATTTCGGACCCACATTCTTTATCGGTGGTCAGTTATCAGAATGTTTACCGTGAGTACTAATTAGATTATAAAATTTACATTTAATAATTCTATGTATTCATGCCACTAAAAGAGAAAATCTAATCAGATCAATTTCATTTCAGACCAGATGATTTACCCTATATCAGAGGTTTATTTCCTCGGGCAGTTATCGCGTATATTGGTAGTACAGGTCATAATTTGCAAATAGACGACCCCAGAAGATTTCTTGAATGGATAATCCCTCCGCTTAAAAATAAAGCTACAGATTATTAAATAAGTTTAGATATATGCCGTAATAAATTATAATTTGAAATGAGGAAACCATTAATCATTAATTATGTCTAAAACATGTATATGAAATTATAAACATGCATTTACAATAAAAAAAATTAAACAAATAAAACTAAAATATTAATTTTTGTTATAAATACTAATGAAAATACTGCTATGTACTATAAATCAATCGTAAATATGACACTGACATCCATACTAGATGACACTGACAGCACCTTCTCAGAAATCAACTTTCATGTTCAAAGTAATTTACAGATTTTCATGTCAGAATAGATGAGAGAAAATTAGAAATGGAATGGCCACATTGTTGCGCAGAAGGAATTTCAAATCGCTTATGAATAAGCTGTCCACCGATCACACGAGGCAGTCTGTAAACTTGGCGTATAAAATACACGGCGAGTCGAAAGGCGCTCCGGCGGTGTTGGTGCTTCACGGCCTTTTGGGATCAAAGAGGAACTGGGAGAGCATTTCCAAGAAAATGGTAGAGGTGATCAACAAGACTGTCATTGCAGTAGACGCGCGTAATCACGGCGAGAGTGGACACCACGAAAGCCACACGTACCCGGAGCTGGCGTTGGATGTGGGCCATCTGATGGACAAACTGGGCATAGAACGGGCGGACCTAATCGGGCACAGCATGGGCGGACGGACGGCCATGGTTCTTGCCCTCACCAAGGTCTAGTTTGCGCATTTTGTATGGGAAAAGTTAGCAAGCGAGTGGGCGGACCAGTGATTACCGCCGTGCAAACACTTTTAGAACACCTCAGAGGTTGCAGACGCGTTGCCAAGCTTTCAAAAAGTTGGCACCTTACTCACCAGACGAAATGCGAAAGAAAAATACTTTATCGGTTTTGTGTGACGCCGTGTTGCTTTTCTGGATGAGCCCGCTCCGCCGTGCAACGGCAGAAGCTGTTAAACTATGACTTGCGTACCCTAGTTTATTCATTGGCTACAAAAATTTTATTCTGGCTTACCAGCTGCAATTCAATGCTATTCGACCATCGACTTCCCGCACATTTGCATAGGTCGTCACTCCATCTAGTGGGGCGGAGGGCGAGACAGGCCATATAGTTCTTAGAACCGATAACCGTTGGGGAAGAAAGATTCTAGAGTGGCAGCCTCGTACTGGCCATCGCGACTAATTAAACTAAAATGTGCTATTTTCTCAAGTGTATAATTAAATATTATGGTAACAATACTTCTTATGTTCGCAAGAACCATCTTTGTCCTTAACCTGTTGTTTCGTGTTGCTCTTAAAATAGCCCGTTCAGGATGGAGTTTTGATAATTTAGTTGCCATAAATAAACCGCGTAGGTACAAACAGTAGGATTATTGTATGTAAATAAAAAAATTAGGTATGCCGTCAGAACGGAAATTGGATTGTATCGAGTAGCAGTTGTTAGGTAAAATCAAATATTTTTTAAACTTATTTCAAACTATCTGTAGGAAATTGGTGGAAATTTTCGAATTTCGACCAATTACGCTCGCGTAATTCATTACATTTAATGAATTTGTATTTTTCTCAAACTGATTCAATCGTTTTAATTCACTATGCCAAATCTCACGCCTCCATGAATGCAGTATTCTTAAATAGGTTTTCGCTTAACAAAGGTTATACAAAACTCTACGTCAGTTTGTCTGTCCGTCCGATTTTACCAATAGACCAAATGATTAATGAGGAAGGTTTCCGTGTATAATTTTATTAGGATTTGTTTGAATTGGTTGAAATATCAAGATTATTGTTGAACATGTTGGAAAAAGAAAAAAAAATGCCACGTGGATAAAAATCGTCGGGCGACAGTGGAAAAAATTGTAGGTCTATTATGTGTGAGAAGCCATGGCGGGCCGCTACTAATAAATAGATAACAATAAATTCATGCATGTGGCCCGTAATATCATTTATTCGTTCTTTATAATTCAAATTCTCACCCACATTTTTCTTTATTTATCTGTGAGAATTTAGAGAATATGATTTTCCGCCACTTCACCTTTACTTTTCCGTCACTTTCATTTTTATTATTTTATAACTTGCAGCCAAGTAAAGTTTCGAGATTGGTCGTGGTCGATATATCGCCTGTTTCTACAGCGGGGGCACTCAGCGATTTCATTCCCAACCTATTGGAGGCGATGAAAGGCATATCATACGAAGGTTTCAACGATTTGAACAGCGCAAGGGCACACGCTAGAGAGAGCCTTTTGAAATCCGGGGCCATCGACGCCCATTCTATGGGTTTTGTTCTGATGAACGTGGTGTCAAAACCAGACGGTTCGTTTGGGTGGGCGTGCAACGTGGATGTTTTAAGCAAACACTTCATTGACATCGCCACATTTCCCGATCTGCCCGGCAAAGTCTACGAGGGCCCGACTTTGTTCGTCGGAGGTGATGCGTCACCCTATATTCCGTGAGTTACGCCATAAAGCGAAATCTGTGTTTTAATGTCTGTTTATTTTCTATGTACCGAACTTGTACATTACCCGTTTATGTTGCACACCGACGTCAGTAACATGTCCGCTTTTAGTTAAAGATACAATCCACCGATTCATATTATGACTTTTAATGAAATATTGATTAGTTGGGTATATAAATTTGTGATTTTAACGACGTCACTATGATCATCATCAAGTTTTTTGTAAAATAATAAGTCAATCACAAAAATATATCAACGTGTAGAGATAAGTTCTTCTACAAAATTATTCAGTCAAGACTGACATTTTGGTAATATTCGAAACAAAGATGTTTTAACAAAGATGACGCATACTGCCCGGCGTTTAAAAATTGTTCAGAATTGATTTTTTTTTATGTGAAAAATTGCCAAACGAGCAGACGGTTCACCTGATGTTAAGTGAATACCGCCGCCCATAGACATCTGCTACACCTGAGGGTTTGCAGATGCGTTAACAACCTTTTTGAAAATTGGGCTCCGGCTACCTCACTCACCAGACGAAACGCGAAAGTGTTTATCATACTTCCACTTTACGCCGGTCTTCTGTGAGGTCATGGTACTTACCCGGACGAGCATGCCCATTCATGCAACAGCCGGGGCTGCTGCGTGGCTCTACCACCGTCAAATATATAGAACGTATGATACTATAATAGGACTAATTACCAATTGGCGTAATTTCAGTGCTACAGTTTCGGTGCGCCAGTGTAATGCAAATCTACCTAACTCTTATTTGTATAAGTATCATTGGTTCGAACTATTAAAAAAGTTCTTGACATTAATTATTAATGTGAGTGCCTTCAAATGCGTTGCGTTGTAAAAACCGCAAAACAGGCTTGACCGCAATAAAATGTATAATTAATTATGTAGCAGCAATGGGCTTCTGTGAAGCTATGTTATATTAGCCATTACTAAATTCTTATGTGGGTTCGATATCATCAAATATATATTTTTTCGGGTTATGTAATTAGTTGTCAGTTAGCGTGATAGTCACTGTTGTCCTATATAATACCTACATTTACGTTGTTAAACTTATTAATTAGATGATGGTGTTACAAATTATAATAACGACTTGTCTATTTCAGGCCTTCAGACATTAACGGCATTAAAGTTCTCTTTCCGAACGCCAATCTTAAATATGTTTCTGGCGCAGGTCATAATGTTCACGCCGAAAATATGACTGAATTTCTTCAAATTGTAACTCAATTTCTTTTGAATTAATAAAAAACAAGTATGAATTGAAATATCGATTTTATTTGGCTAGTATTGGATCGATCAATTAATTCGAAATTGTTTGTTTGAATGTATTCAAAATAGTACATGTAACAGACCGTTTTTAACACGCTGTTATTAGCTTGTTATTTATGTATCTATCTATCAAATAAAAATGATATGGGCAAATTAATATTTTCGCAAAAAATTACAAGAAAAAAAATTTACCTTAATTTGCATCTTTTTTATTTTCCGGAATTTTTTCTTTATTTGTGCCGCAAGACCTTGCTTTTGTGCCAAAACCTAACCCTGGTATTTCAAGTTGACCTAGCGTGGTCAAGGTGGGCTAGGAGGCTTGCTGTTTATTAGAACTGGCTCTTCTGGATTCCAAGGTCTCTAGTCAGTGAACTACAAAAGGGATCGAGTAGAAAGGCGCGCTGAATGTTCCAGCTAGCCAGGAGGGTCTGGTGAGGCGGCCAGCGCTGGCAAGCTCGCGGAAATGTTCCCGTAGCCCTATCGATATCCCACCTAGATAGAACGTAGTGGAGGTTTTAGTCGGTGCGAGTGCGACATAACAAGCCCCCATGAGGGCGGAACATACGCGGTAGGCATTTTCCCCACGGTAACAAAAAATAGGGATATCGCTGGTGTATATGTGGGGCACCGTCGACTCCAAATTGAAATACCCTCGGTATGACAAATTCATATGATTAAACATTAAAATTTGTAGAAAAAAGTACGAAAAGTTTTTCGCGGCTGTGGGAATCGAACCCATGTCTTCGGGATTTGCGCCCTGACGCTTTAGCAACAAAGGTAAATGGCTACTTGCCACGTCGACGTAAATATAACATATTTTATATACATTGTGATTTTTGCCCGACCTTTGGAGGCGGCGCATCTTGGCGCGGTTTGCGTCAGTTCAATAAAGGTCGAAAGCACGAATAGCTGCGTTTTGCTTTGGTAAAACCTGTCTTAGGCTCTCCGGCAGCTTGGATCTGAAGAATTAAGATTATGAAGAATCTCCGAGAACTGTTTGTATGTCTCAGCGGACTGCTTCCCATCAGGGATTTGATCTGAGTGCGGAGAACTCGTTAACTCAAATCTCTTGTCTTGCTTTACCCAGATTGTCATATATATCTTAGTCGAGCCCGGCCGGCTTAATAGTAACTTTACTGGGCGATGGATAGTTTGGATCGCTAAGTACATAGGAGAATGACAGGAATTTATGTTAAAGTGTTTATTGAGTTTGCATATAACGAATAAATCAGAGATTTCTGGAAGATAATAGAAACAGTTTTACTTGCTTCTAAAATCATTTCACCATCGCATATGCTGCTAATACTACTAACATTTATTACAGGCGAAATTTTATTAGATCGTTATATGAGGTTTTTACAGCTTTCTTTTGATAATTATACATTGTTTCAAGCTTTTTTTTTTTAGGTGAAGCTAGAAGTCAATTTGAAAATCTTCAATAATAATCCCAAGTCTCTCAATAATAAGCATTCAATAAATAACTCATAAACAATAATAACCAGTTAAAAAGCAGTTATCGGGGACAAATATGATTGGCATTTTTCAACGTCTCGGTAGTTTGCTGTAAATGAATAGACAAGAATACATCCTTTTTTTTTAAATTTGCGGAAAATGTATGAAGTTTTTCGCCGTTGCGAGGATTCGATCCTGCGTCCTTCAGGATACGCGCCAGACGCTCTGGCCTCTGAGGTAATCGTCTTATCGTACAAGCTAAGCGTAATTTACTTTACTTACCTGTCTACCTTTTAAGATGTGTAGACAAAGATATTATATACAAAGATATGATATTAGCGCACCGAAATTGAGGCACTCAAATTACATCAATTAGTGTAATTAGATTGCAATTCTATAGACTGATCTCTTTCTATATCATCTCCCACATTCACTTATGTAATTGTCATATAATGTAAAGCAGAGCAATTTTTAAACGCCGCGCAGTATGGACATGCGTCATCTATATTATTATTATTTTTTGTGACGTGTAGTTTGCTGTTAGCCCGGCGGCTTTGACAGCTTCGGCGGAAGAGGTCCGCGGGCAGACGATCCACGGACTCGGGTGAACAACGTAGCTGGTGCACGACGACGACAAGAAGACGCCGTCCACTCCGCTGCACTCTGCAACACCCTGCTAACGAAAGATGGACAATCGACTAACACTTTGGGCACAATACAAATCGTATACAGTGTAGGCCGAGAATCTGGGACCTCGCATTCGCCGTCGATTGCGCTGAGCCATATGTCTGTATGTTAGTGCATTGTGTGTTATGTGATGGACTGCGCGCGGGAGGATCGCGGCGTAGTCTCGGATGCACGGTCCGAGGGGGTGCGGCATAGATTCCGAAAGCTTTCACCAACGGATTTGTATGGGCGTTAATGCTTTTGAAGTTTCTTTTTGACGCTTCTTTGAAGAGGGTGGACAGGGATGTTATATTTAAGTCGCGATGCAAATCGGCATTCCGCACGTACCACGGTACGCCTGTTGCGTGACGAAGGAATTTATTTAGTATTATTTGTAATGGCTTTAATCTATTAGGAGGTATATGCGCGAAACAAACACTCGCGTATTTTATAATGGGGCGAATACAGGTTTTATATAAATGTATTTTATGTTTTAGCGACATTTTACTTGTCGCTCTAGTGAGAGGAGCTAGGCGAAACATCACAAATTTAGCTTTATTGACTACTGCTCGTATGTGTTCTTTGAAGGTCAGGCGGCAGTCTAGAGGGACGCCGAGGTATTTGGCCTTATTTTCCCATGGAATGGGTTGGAAAAATACAACTTCACTCGATGAGTGGTTTGAACTTGAAACTACAGCAATAGTTTACCGTTGTGTATGACGCTCGGACCAACAGGCTACGCGAGGTCAATCTATATTATTAAACATCATTGGGTGCAGATATGACATTTTTAAAACTGACATTACATTAAGGTTTGTGTAAGTCTTTAATTAAATAAAAATAAAGGGAATTCCTACTTATTTCTTTAAAAATACTTACACCATTTTTAAAAATACATTTTAAGTATTTATACTATGTAATATACAAAAAGATAAATATTAGACCTAAGTAATAAAAGATCACATACATTTTTATTATGTACGATAAGTAATTAAGTATTAAAAATGTGGCGATGAAAATATCTCGATTACCTTGCTAACACGGTCATGTAAACGCCGTGTGATAATAATGCAGTATGCACCAAAGAGTACTTTTGTATATCTGAAAATCTTTTGTATATCTGGTATGCACAATGATATTGATTGCTCATACAGACTTACAAGAACCGGATAAAATGACTTCTGACAAGTGACAGATCTGTGATTTTCAGATATTGGCAGCCTAAACAATTACAATGTCAAATATTTAACCTTTTCTCACTTCTTTTATTCTTGTAAATAAAATGTTTCTTAAAAAAGTTAATTATAATTTATTTTACTATGTAAAAAACTTTTCAGCTGTGTCTCAAATTGCGGTGTCTAGGACTGCTTCTACCAAATCTAGCCCGTCGGATACCGTCGAATTGGCTTATGCTTCATATGAAAGTACATCAGATGAAAACTGTTCTAGACCGCCTTTAATTATTTTACATGGGCTATTAGGGTCCAAAAACAATTGGAATAGTATGAGCAAAGCTATACACCGTACGACTGGTAGAAAAGTTATAAGTATTGATGCGAGAAACCATGGAGACAGTCGTCACTCTTCAGAGCATACATACATACATATGGCTCATGATGTGATGAAGCTTTTAAAGAAATTAGAATTATCGAAGGTTTCATTGTTAGGTCACAGTATGGGCGGTCGAACTGCCATGGTACTGTCACTGTTATGTGTAAGTTGTACGTAATTTTTGTTTTATTTATTATTTAATTACTTCGTTGTTTACACATAGAACTATAGAACTATTCAAATAGAAAAGTTCATCAAATTAAAGTAAACACTTCATATGAATATTACGTGATTACTTGAATTTTACAACCTCTTTAATAAAGCTTAAATAAACCGCATAAATATTTATATGAAGCAAGTCTTTTGGTTTTAAAAGTATGCTTTGGTTTATGAGACCGTTTTTTTCTTTTTAAAGCTATTGCTTCCATTATTACTTTAGATATTGATGAGATGAGATCTTGAAAAAACATACCTATTGAATTAGTATGACTTTTCACATTTTGAATTAGTTATTAATCAATTTTAGGTGTAGAATATGGTTGTAAAGTAAGTATCTAATAATTTTTGCATTACTTTTTCAGTCTGACCTAGTGTCAAGTCTCATAGTGGTCCACAAATATTTTCAATGGTCAATTTATTTGATGCCATGACATCAGTCTCAATCAGATCTGGCATAGCCATGTCTAAGGCGCGGAAATTGGCTGATGAACAACTGAAGGCAATTGTACCAGACATTAACCTAAGAAACTTTTTAATCACAAACTTAGTACAAACCAATTCAGGATCATATACCTGGAGGGTGAATCTCCCAGCACTAAAAGAAAATTTTCAAACACATATATCATCCTTTCCATCTAATTTGAGAGGGTTACAGTATTGCGGCCCAGCTCTCTTTATTGGAGGATCACTTTCAGATTATATTGGGTGCGATTTATTCATAATTTTATTCCTTTATTTTACTATTAGTTAAAACATACAAACAAGAGCCGTGATAGCTCAGTGTCCGGGCGCTCGCCTTTAATTCAATATACTTGAGCAACCTGAGTTCGATTCCCGGTGCCGGCACCAATGAAGTTTTTTAACTTTAAGTGCTGACTTATCACGTGCTCCGCGTTGAAGGAAAACATCGTGAGGAAACCTGCATATTTTCGAAATAATAACAAAAAAAAAATATATATTTCGAAGATATGTGAAGTCCGCCAACCAGCAGTGGGGCCGCGTGGTGGACTATGCCCTGATACCCTCTCTATAGAGGAGGCCTTTGCCCAGCAGTGGGACATGTATAGGCTGTTACTTTACTTTACTTTAAAACATTTATAAAAATGATAATTTGTAAAAGTTTAAGAATAGTTTTAATTTTATTTAAAGTAGATATACTACTGATAAAATTATATGCTATTGGTAAATTTCTTTTATTTCAGCAAAAATGATCTGCCAGGAATCCATGAGTATTTTCCCTTAGCAGAGCTGACATTCATAGAAGGAGCTGGTCATTGGGTACACAGCCAGAAGCCAGAAAAATTTCTGGAAATTGTATGTAAATTTTTAACTGAAAAGTGATAGTGCAATATTTCATTAGTACAATTGTTGTGATTTTTAGTATGAATATACCTTAATGGTATCTAGTTTTTAAAGTTATATACAATTATATAATAAATTTTTGTTAATTGATTCAAGATTTTTAAAGTTTTGCTCCCCAGTCTCTTTTTGTTCCATTGTGAAAAAGTGAACTCTAGGTAAAGTATTGTATTATCATGTTCTTTTATTATTAAAAATGATCTAGTAAATAAAAAAAATCTATTCCACCATTATAGGTATAAAATAAAAATGTTACAGATTATTAGTATGCTGTTAGCCTGATGGGTTTTAGACCAGTCAGAAAAAGTCCATGATAGATGACGGCCCGGTCCGGTATGTTGCTACTTTGCGACCACTGTGATGAGAGATAGAAAAAGAGGACCACACAATCCAAGGGCTTCAAATGAAAGTTCGAACCTTGGCTTGGTACGTTATACAGCGTGTCGTTACCATCGCGACAATAAATGAACACACGTCTAACGCTACTTGCCAATAATCATAAAAAATATTAACGTTAAACAAAATCCATAATTAAAAAAAAAATATTTTTCAAACAAACTAATTAAGTAAAAAAGAAACAAAATTTGTAACATCTTTTTTTTTTTTTATGTGAAAAGTTGCCAAACGAGCAGACGGTTCACCTGATGGTAAGTGAATACCGCCGCCCATGGACATCTGCTACACCTGAGGGTTACAGAGGCGTTGACAACTTTATGAAAATTGGGCTCCGGCTACCTCACTCACCAGACGAAACGCGAAAGTATTTGTCATACTTCCACTTTACGCTGGTCTTCTGTAAGGTCGTGGTACTAACCCGGACGGGCCTGCCCATTCATGCAACAGCCGAGGCTGCTGCGTGGCCCTACCACCGTAAATCCTATACAACTCGCGCCACAGCGTCGCATTACAAACCTCTCCTTCTAACAGTATGTTTTGTCTCTTTTAAATTCATTCAACCCATTCATATGCTTTGTGACCTTTACAAATGAACTTTACGTGACGCTTTTGAAGGTAAGGGTGTTCTAAAATTCTTTGTTTTGGAAAATTTAATAACTCTGTCAATATTGATGTTTAAAGAATTTAAATGTTTAATACAACTTTAAAAAGTTATTCCCTATATGTGTGTTCATTTATTGTCGCGATGGTAACGACGCTGTATATAGGTCAAAATTGCGATGTATTCGCGTGATCTAACGTTTGAAACGATTATTTTATGAAAACCATTAAAAACATTAAATTACTTACATGAACTCAAGATTTAAGACAGTAAAAAATTTATGAAAACTATTAAGTTAGGAAAATAGAAAGTGTACTAATTGTGTAAATAGTAATTGAATGGACATAGATTTAAATGTACATTTTTTATTTACTGTAAATAACTAACTCGACGTAAGCAGTTCCAAAGCTGACTGGTGTACAAGGATATTGTGTGCAGGTTATGAATCGGTGAACTTTTATATTGAAAAATAATAACTACCTAAGCTCACATAGAACCATGCGACCAATACTAGCAGGTGAAAATGTTTCATACCCATTTTAAAATGTTTTAGACAAAATGAAAAATGGGAAATATTGCCTATTCAACTATAAATAAATGAGAAATATTACACTTATCATCATCATCATCAACCCGTATCAGCCCGCTGCTCCTCCCTCTTGTGTCATTCATCCCTGTCATGAGTGGATCGCATCCATGTTTTTCCTGCGATCGTTATGATGTCGTCGACACAGGCAGGTGGTCTACCGACGCCACCCCTTCCTTTTCGAGGTATCCATTCGTTTAAGGTTCGACTCCACCTGCTATCACCATGTCCAGCAATGTGCCCTACTCAGCGCCATTTGAGCCGCATTATCCGTTTACCAACGTCGCAGACCTTCGTTCAACGACGGATTTCGGTATTGCGGATGCGATCTCTTAACTTGATGCCCAACATGGAACGCTCCATAGCCTATTGTTTGACTCACATTTTGTGCAATGTGTCTTTTGTGAGCCTTCATCTCATTCGGAACCATAGGTCATGGCGGGGAGAACATATTTATAGATCTTGGTTTTCAAGCATTATGGTATTTTGTCGTATTTTACTTATACTTTTGAATTTTTCATAAGAATCTCGGCTCGCCTGACTTCTTTTCGCCTCGGGGCAGGGGACTTTGACGATTCCGTTATCGGTACAAAAGGAACAGAGTAGAAAGGTGTGCTTTAGTTTTCCAGCGCATCTTCCCTGGAGTAAAAGGGTGCTATTTCGCCTTAAAGGTTCTGGTAGCTTGTTTGTGGATATATGCAAAAGCGTTGCGATGACTTTACCGATATGCACCTTGGGTGGAAAATCAAGTATAATATTAAAAAATTCAAGTCTCAATGTACTACATTTTATTAAAATAAGTCATGTGACATGTGGCGTCGTATGAAAAAATCCCAACCCGATAAACTATAATAATAAAAAGTTATATGTCATATGTCAATTTGTCAAATTGTCATAATCATAATAAAATGTTTTTGAAATACACATTCAGCTTTTGTTTTCAAATTTACTTGTTAATGTTTAAGGCATTAAAAATGGAGAGTAAAAGTAATAATACAAAGCCTGGCATGGCTGCTTTACAGAATATGGTTATACTTAAACAAGAAAGTTCCGTTTTTAAAATTCCTAAAGTACCTAAGAAAAAGTTAGTTAAAAAAGCAGAAGTTTTAGATGAAGAGGATTATGTTGAGGTACTTAGTAACTTCTGTTCATTTTATGTAATTTCTGGTAAATAAGTAAGTTATATAGAAGACGCAATGCAACGAATTTGCATTAAAAAAGAAATAGTTTTATGAGTATACTCAATAAATAAAACCACCAACTGAGGTTTTTGTAATTGTTAATGTGTTTTTTAATACTATAGCTAAATTTTTGGTAAATGTAAATAACTTTAACTCCGGCGTAATTTAATTAAAATAAATTTTAAACGATAGAGATAAATCTCTAATGAATTAATCAACAAGCAGGATTCGGCGGTCGCTTATAGTTTTTGAGAAAAAAAAATATTTAAAACTTGTTTTTTGTACTAAGAAATCCACCATTTTATTTGTTTGACTTCAAAAACTCAATACACAGTTCTGCCAACATGATAAATATAGGAAGCGGGCGACATCATACAGGTATCGATATTCCGATTTTTTTTAATTTAATGAGTCACAGAACCGACACAGCGAATCCGACTCGGATAGATTAGGTTAGAGCTCCGCTCCCGCCTGAACCTTCTAACCTAATCTATTAATCTTAACCTTCAATGTTAGGTTTTTTTTATGACCACCAAGAAATACGAGCTGAATTGACATATTGACAACAAAAAAAATGGCGGATTTCTATTATTTATATTTTTTCGAAAACTATAAGCGACCGCCGAATTCTGCTTGTTGATAAATTCATAAGTGATTTTTCTCTATCGTTTAAAATTTATTTGATTTGAATTACGCCGGAGTTAAAGTTATTTACATTTACCAAATTTTTAAATATTATCAAAGGTAAAAAAGCTGAGATGAGATTTGATTTCATATTAGATTTGATTTTTTTAAATTTCACAGGGTATTTCAAGAATTATTCAAAGAGATTTTTTTCCTGACCTGGAAAAGTTGAAAGCTCAGAATGATTATTTAGAAGCAACAGAGAATAAAGACTATGCAAGGCTTCAAGAACTGACTAGAAAGTACAGTGGAAACAGGCCACCGACTGAGCCATGTAAGTGGCTTCTTATTCACCTGGACATTATACTTCAGAGTTGTTATCTGTATACTGTCTAGGGTATAAAGATGTTTTTGTTTAATTTTGTTAGGGTATCTGTTGAACTGCATAAGTTCACAAGAAATATTGAATTTTTTATTTATTTTATTAATTACCTGGCTGAATAGATAATGATATTAATGATCACTAAAATAAAGGGTAAAAAAAATACTGCACTATATGTATTGAAGAATATCATGTGGAAATTTTTAAGTTGAATTGTTTATGTTTTGTGTCCTTAGATAATTCACCAGCCACTTTTGATACTCCTGGTGTTGACAGACCTTTCTCTCCTTCCACACCAACCACACTGCAGAAACAACCTGATCAGCAACCCATCAAGGAGAAGACTAAAGATATCACAGAAAATCATACTCTAGGTATGTCATTTGACAAGATTGTGCTTGTTGAAATTTTGCTACAGGTCTGTTTTTTTTGTCTCATAACTTTGGTATTAAATTTCAAGACTCAAAATTACATGCTAACTGCTCTGCTTCTAACTTTGTGGCCAGTATGGTTTCTGTAATGAAACCAGAAAAAGTGTACACTAATTTTTTACATTTTGTCTTCCAGATTCATTTCTCGCAAAGCACACAAGCGAAGATAATGCCAGTTATGAAAGGGTTATTGCCTTGGAAGACAAAAAGCGATCTAATAAGTTGGTGTCACAGTTTGAGGCGGAGGTCACATCTGCGTTGCGAGCTGACGCGGCACTTGCTTTGCCGTCAATTGAGGAACAAGCTGATCAGAGGGAAAGGCCTCATGAGGTTGGTAGAATCATTCAACAGTGAAGGTTTATATTCCAACAAGGAGTTGATCAATGGGTCAGTCACAATACTACTCCAGTAGGATGAATCCTTACTTTTACGATGCTGCCTAACCGACACTCAATCATTTATTGTAGAAAATGTTTATAACTTAACAGACTTAAGTACTACTATACTCTCCGATCTACCATTTTTAAAGGTGTTCTAATACATGGTGTTGTTATACATTATACTTATGGGAATTCATTAAAACCATGTTGTATTCTAAAGCCATATTCTAAGCTTGAAAGTAAAAATTTCTTTATTCAATATCGGTTTATTTTAAGTATTAAGCGAACAACAAGAAACTACTTCGTTCTTACTGATTTCACTCTACAGTTGGACACGTGGAAGTACAAGGCGAAGAACTACATAATGTATGTGCCTTCGGGCGCGGAGTCCCAGAGGCCGCCGCCGAAGCCCGACCTCCGCCACATAAACACGAGACTTCGCGCCCCGCCATTTGACCACGTGAAGAATAAAGAAACAATCTCCGCAATCGCGAAAACACAGGTACCCTCACGACTGCTAATTTCATACATAAATACTTTTGTGTAATTACATAATTAATGAGGCATTAAGTCCATCCTTTGTAATCCTTTTTGAGGTGTTATCAATAAAGAATAAATAAATAAAAAAAAAAAAATAAATCGAAAAAACAAAAAGAAAAATAAAGCCTCTTGCCGGTTCTTCTCTGGACAGGTTTAGTTTAGTGAACCGGTAATAGTTTATTGACGTTCAATGAGAGCTTAAAATATGCCTATTACCGTTGAGACAAAACACAGATACAACATTTTCTGTGTCATTTCCACTGGTCTACGTTTAAAAGGCATGTGCAAGAAAAACTTAAATGAGCATGTCAAATCTCAGGACACTTTTATCTCGTTGAAAGTAACTATATTTCTATGGAAAGAAACAAGTTGGAAAAACTGTCGCTTGGCTAAGTTGGCTAAAGCGTTTAAGCGCAGGTTCGAATCCCGCAGCGTGGAAAAATTGTTCGTCTATTAAATTCACATTTATGTAAATAACCGCGGTTAGCACCAAAACTTCTGTAATCTTGTGAGCAATCCTGTTAGACGCAGGAATCCATTTTAGGGGTGTTTTTCACAGTCGGTGTGAATAATGCAACGGTGTAGCTGCTCTGTGGCCCGATCACAGTGTAGATATCACTAGGACGCAAAGCCTTCAGTCAGGTCGCGACGACTGTTACATTTTTCACGGTCGGCGTGAGTAATGCAACGGTAGTGGCTGCTCTGTGGTCCGACCACAGTGTAGATATGACTAGGACGCGACGCCTTCAGTCAGGTCGCGACTACCGTTACATTTTTCACGGTCGGCGTGAGTAATGCAACGGTAGTGGCTGCTCTGTGGTCCGACCACAGTGTAGATATGACTAGGACGCGACGCCTTCAGTCAGGTCGCGACTTTACATTTTTCACGGTCGGCGTGAGTAATGCAACGGTAGTGGCTGCTCTGTGGTCCGACCACAGTGTTATGACTAGGACGCGACGCCTTCAGTCAGGTCGCGACTACCGTTACATTTTTCATTTTTCACGGTCGGCGTGAGTAATGCAAAACGGTAGTGGCTGCTCTTGTGGTCTGTGTGATATGTAGGACCACCTTCAGTCAGGTCGCGACTACCGTTACATTTTTCACGGTCGGCGGGACGCGCAACGGTGTAGCTGCTCTGTGGCCCGAACACAGTGTAGATATCACGTAGGACGTGCCTTCAGTCAGGGTCGCGACGACTGTTACATTTTTCACGGTCGGCGTGAGTAATGCATGTGGCTGCTCTGTGGTCCGACCACAGTGTAGATATGACTAGGACGCGACGCCTTCAGTCAGGTCGCGACTACCGTTACATTTTTCACGGTCGGCGTGAGTAATGCAACGGTAG